TCCCCCAGGGAGGAGGCCACATGTGGACCTTGTCCTCTGCTCCCCTTGTCTTACTTCCAGTACTTCTTTTCTTTTCTTTTTTGATGTTTTCAGTTTCTTTGGTTTCTTCTAATTGTTACCCAAAGGGAGCTAGCTTGTTTTCTTTATGGTTTTTGCTTTTTTTAAACCTATTTAGCACCATAATCTGGACGTGATCATTTTTTTCATTAATCTGGCCTGTGTAGGTGATATTCCTTTTCTTCGTGTTTTACTTTGAAATGGTTCATCTTTTCCTGTGACTTTTGTGTGTTTTAAAAACATTTTTATTGTTGTTGTTGAACTTGGGACATCTGGTTATCCTTTAAGGCACCCCCGAAAATAAGACCTCCCTGAAAATAAGGCCCCCTGAAGCTACCGTAACTCGACTTTGGACTGTAGTGGTGGGCGCGGCCGCGCAGCTCACTATTGGCCGCAGCGCAGCCAGAGCAGACAGGAAGTAAGAGGTCTCTTTTAATAAAGCAATAAACAATAAATGTGTACTGTATTCTTCTTCATGCAAAAATAAGACATCTCCTGAAAATAAGACCTAGCGCATTTTGGGGAGCAAAAATTAATATAAGACACTGTCTTATTTTCGAGGAAACAGGGTAGATATCCCAGCAGCTAAATTCCTGAGGGCCAGCTCAGAGGCTGGGCTCACACCCTCCAGGCAGTTTGCGTGCGAAAGATGTGCCTCCCTCCACCTACCTTTGTGGAGACTCACAACCCTAGAAAGCCCACGGCAGTGCCCTCTGTCTCTCAGTCATGTGGCTCAGAATGAGCCCTGTAGTAACGGGCTTGGTTTTATCTCCTGAGCACGACTAGTGGGTACAGGTTATCCTTAGTTTTGTTGTTGTTGTTATTGGTGGTTTTTGTTTGTTTGTTTTGCCAGTGGAAACCAGTTTAATCTAAACCCACTCACTACAAGCCCTGAGGCAGGGTGGAGACCCTGGGCTGAACAGCCAGGAGCCCCTGACTGGCACTCACCATGGGGATGGGGGTGGGTTGGAGGTGTCCTTTGTTTTAGTTTTAGTTTTCACTACTAGAAATTCAGTGTGGTTTCCTGGGTGTGCAGTGGGTGAGCAGTGAGACCCCGCTTTCTAGTGGGGAAGGGGGTGGGCATCTCTTTCTCTGCGGATGTACCTACCTAAGCTCTCTCACCGCGGCCCTCTAGGCTCGGGGAACCAGCTGTGTTCCTCTGTGGTGACTATCCAAAAGATCACCCTCACCCCGGTGTCCGGTGTCCTTGTAGTACCTCCTGGTCCTTGGGGTTGCTCATCATGGGCCTCAGGGAGATTCCAGAACCCTCCTGCAGAGCCACAATCTCTGGCCATCGTCTAACTGTGCAGCCTGCAAACTCCGCGGCCTTTCAAAAATCTGGCTTCAGATTCCTCAGATGGATGCCTTTCCTTTGTCCTTGTTTGGAGCTTGGCCTTAAAATTGCTGTGACAAGTAAGTTCTCCAGTGTTAGTGGACAGTTTCTCCTAACTTAGGTGCTCCCCCTCCCCCTCCCTGCTTCTTGGTTCAATTTGGCTCTCAACCCCTCTCTGTCTGGGCAGGCTTTTAAGTGTTGTTCAGGGATTTGGTTGCCGGAGTTGGAAAGGGGGGTATCTACTCACTTCAGCCTGCTTTACTTCTTTCTCCCTAGGACCGTGGTTCTCTACCTTCCTAATGCTGCGACCCTTTCACACAGCCCCTCATGTGGTGGTGACCCCCCAACCCTAAAATTATTTTCGTTGCTACTTCATCACTGTCATTTTGATACGGTTATGAATCGGGCGACCCCTGTGAAAGGGTTGTTCGACCCCCAAAGGGGTTGTGACCCACAGGTTGAGGACCACTGCCCTAGGGCTTTCAGGATTTGGTATTTGGGGACCCAGATCCTTAGGACTCTCATTTGAGGCATCTCTTGGTGGTCTCAAATGTGCAACCATTCAGTTAGTGCCCTAGCACATTAGGGCCACAGCTCCTTCCCAACGCCATGCGGCTGTCAAGAGGCCATCAGAACGCCTGCTCCTGGCTTCCTCTGCCTGCCTTGTGGTGGCTACTTTTCCAGAATGATAGAGACCTGGTAAAATAATGAGTGCTGGCAGAAAGACAATGTTTTCAAAATGATGGCCACTATGTACAAATGTGTTTGATACAATTGATGTATGCATTGTTATAAGAGCCATCAGAGCCCCCAATAAAATGATTTATTGATTTAGAAAATCGAAAAAAAGGATTGGGGCTTTTCCCACTCCTGATGTGGCATGTGTTAGAACCAGGGCCGTGCAGGAAGCATGTCCTAGTAGTAGAGATGAGAAGGAAATGAGTGCTTCTCTAGAATCTGATCATTTCCCAGAATCCTACTTTGGTATCTGGGCCTCAGCACCTCATTACATTCTCAAAACATCTCTGTGAGGTGGACATTGTGGACAAGAGCAGTTGGGTCTCTTTCTCAAGGTTACCTGGCTCATAACGAAGAGATGGGTACATGGGAGTTCTCTTGAACACCTAGCCTTTTGGGGGTCATGCTGCACCAACTCCCAATTCAGCTCCTATCACCTTGATGCAAACAGGTTCTCCTTTGTTTATGTTCCCTCCTACTCTGTCCTCGCATGTTATTAGAGGTCAAGGTGAATCCGCCATCCTGCTCTGTAGTCAGTGATTTGCAGGATCTGTTAATGGTACAACCTAAACAGTGGCCTCATTGGTTTTATTAGTGTTCAAAGGCATAGTAGTTCCTTTCCTACAAGATCTGTTAAGCAGACTATTCCTCTTCAATCCATCCCAAATCTGTACCCTTTTCCCAGGTGTAGGCATTGCTTCCCTCAAGGGGTGTCACCGGGGAAGCCATTCCTGCTATCAGCCTGTGGGCAGCTCTGGGAAAGCCTTTTGGATGGGGAGGAGGCCATGGGTCTCTCAGCTGGCCACAGGCAACTTGCAGCCACGTGCTTGGGAAGTCGACCCCTTCAGAGGGATCTCTTTCATTGGAAGAGACTTACTTTCTGGGACCATGTGAGGAGAGCTGTAAGCTAGCAGGGAGGCAAGTGTGAGGGGCCGCTCTGCTGCCCCTGCTCCCAGACGGATTGGCTTTTGCTTGACCTTTGCGGCTCCTTGCG